CAAAGAGGTTTATGTGGTCAACATTTGTATGAACATTTTTTTGAGGAGGGCCATTCGGGTCTTAATGACTTTAAAGCACAGATTATTGATATCACGGATATTAATAAACCTACAGAGAGGGAAAGCTTTTGGATTGAAAAAATTGAATACATATGTACCACTGGGATTAAATTTGAGGGAGGAATGTTAATATGCAAGTCTATATATTATTAGCGTATCTTAATTAGATTGAGCCTAAAGTATTTAAGGACATGGATTGAACTTATCTCGTTCCTGACGAAGGGGCTGTGCCCCGTAACGTATTATGTATTTGTTTGAAGTTTAATAAATTTTGTTTCCAACTTGAAGTTTTATATATATATATATATATATATATATATATATATATATATATATATATATATATACGAGTAGGTTTGTGTATACGAAACGCAAAGAGTGCTCAATATCATAAAGATAGAGCAAATGTAGAATTTCGCTTACCTCAAAATTCCGCAACAGTCTGTTTCATCAGTAAAGAATCTCTATAATCACTAAGCACAATGCACATATAGCTAGGAAGAACAAGGCACAGGGCAAGGGCACTGTCAATTGCAGTTGTTCGAAAAACACAATATGCCCACTTCAGAAACAATGCATGACTAAGGACATAGTATACAAAGCAACAGTCACAACAAGCAACCCTAACACGATCATGAATTATATGGGCATGACATCAACTACATTTAAAGAGCGTTTGGCTAACCATAACTATACTTTCGAGCATAAAGAGCACTCAAACAAAACTGAACTTTCGAAATATATTTGGACATTGAAAGATGGCAAGAAAGATTTTAATATCAATTGGCAAATTTTGAAACGCGCTATTTCGTATACGGGAGGATCAAAACGATGTAATTTATGTTTAGAGGAAAAATTTTGTATTTTGAAAGAAAACTAAAACCGTTTACTCAATAAAAGAATGGAAATTATATCTACGTGCAGACATAGGAAGAAATTTCGCGTAAACAACGCAAACAATACACTCCCACAATTCGATTAGGCATTTCCGCGTAAACAACGCAAACAATAGATGAATGCATGCTTTGTTTCACCCATACCCCCCCACGTTCCGGCCAAAACACATATAAGCAGTCCTATTTTTCGAAACTTGTCATACCGCCTGATGATTCTTTACTGATGAAACAGACTGTTGCGGAATTATATATATATATATATATATATATATATATATATATATATATATATATATATATATATATATAGTTTTACCTCAAAAAACCACAACAGTCTGTTTCATCCGTATAGGAATCATCAGGTGGTGAATAATTTCGAAATTGTAGGTTGCTTTTATGCTATCGAAAGAATGTGCGGAATGCGTGTAGGCGAAACAATGCTTTGGTGAAACAATGCATGCTTGGGTCATTAGGTTTTGTTAACGACCTTGTTTACTCGAAACCGGTTTTTGTGACGACATTTGCCGAAAATTTCGCTTCTTTTATTGAGTAACTTGTCTTTGTTTATGTCTTTCAAAATGCAAAATTTTTCTTCCAAACATAAATTGCAGCGTTTTGATCCCCCTGTGTACGAAATAGCGTGTTTTAAAATTGACCATTTGATGGTATAATCCTGATTGTTTTCTTTTAATTTCCAAATATGTTTCGAAAGTTCCGTTTTGTTTGAGTCTTTTTTATGACGAAAAGATGAAGTGTGGTTAGCGTAACGTTCCTTAAATGTAGTCGCCGTCATACCAATGTAGTGTTTAGTGTCGTTCGTGTTGTTCGTTGTGACTGTTGCTTTGTAAATAATGTTGTTGGTCATGCATTGTTTCGGTCGGTAGTGGGCAAGTGTTTTTGTTGTCGCAGTTACAGTTGTCAGTTTCGGTATTCTGTGATTGACTGTTCCTAATTATATGTGCGTTGTGTTTGGTGATTATAGACTTAACGTTGTTCATGCAACTGTAGCTTACTTTTAAAGTGTTTCTGTTAAAAATCTTGTGTAGTTTGTGCTGTAGTGGGAAGTGTTTGTCAATTAAACTTAAGAATTCCCGTCCTATGTTCGTGCTAACACTCTTACTAAATGGTGGGTTAAACCAAATTATGTTGCGTTGCCTATTCCTACGTGACCGGTTTCGAGTAAACAAGGTCGTTAACACAACCTAATGACCCAAGCATGCATTGTTTCACCTAAGCATTGTTTCGCCTACACGCATTCCGCACATTCTTTCGATAGCATAAAAGCAAACTACAATTTCGAAATTATTCACCACCTGATGATTCCTATACGGATGAAACAGACTGTTGTGGTTTTTGAGGTAAAACGAAAAACTATATTACGCTCTATCTATATGGTATTGAGCACTGTTTGTGTTTCGTGAACCAAAATCTTAAGCTATATTTGCACCCGGTAATCGGTTGTGCACTCTTGTCTACGTTATTCATTTTATTTCTACTTCAAACATGCGACAATTTCGATTCGATTATTCACTAAATAATATTCCTATACCATCACAGGATGCTTACCTAAAGAATTTGATTGAAAAAGTGGAAAGCGTAACAAAACGTATGAGATGGAAAGCTAATTTCTTCCTAAAAGGATCAACGACTCAAAACCAAAGCAACCTTTTCGGCCTTTCGTCTAACAAATCGCCTCCCTCAATTCCACTTTTGAAACCTTTCGAAGACGACTTGATAAAACTAATTGAAAACGTAAAATTCCGGCGTCCTAAAGACCAATTTCAGACATCTTTGGCTAACAATTTGAAGAAAATTAATTCATCCCCTAACATTTTCATTTTCGCGGACAAAACTAGAAACATTTACGAAACGTCACTGAACACATACAACGAACTCTTACATGATAACATCACGAAAACGTACAAACATGGATCAGAGGACTTCATACATGAAATTGACTCCGAATTGAAAGAAATTGCGAGTAAGTTAGGAATTGGCGACAGAATTGAACGAATGAAAAAACGCGAAGCATTTATATCTTTAAAAGATCACAAAGAAAATTTCGAAAACAATCCAAAATGCCGACTAATTAATCCCGCAAAAAGCGAATCCGGAAAACTAAGTAAGGTTATTTTAGATAAAATTAATTTCAATTTGAGACAAAAACTAAATTCAAATCAATGGAGAAATACGCAACAAGTAATTTCATGGTTTGGCAATATAAACGATAAAGACAGGCACAGTTTTATTTCATTTGATATTGTGGATTTTTACCCGTCTATTTCCGAAAAACTTTTGAATGAAGCATTGGCCTGGGCTTCGGATTTGACTACTATTACCGAAAACGATATTTCAATAATAAAACATGCAAGAAAATCTCTACTTTTCGGCAACGGCAAATTATGGACAAAAAAAGACGGAAGCAACAGTTTATTTGACGTCACTATGGGTAGTTTCGACGGCGCTGAAATTTGTGAGCTGGTAGGTCTTTTCATTTTAAATCACTTAGGTAAGAGGTTTGGCAAGGAAAACATCGGACTTTATAGAGATGATGGTTTGGCTATTATAAAAAGCAAATCCGCCCGTTTACTAGACAAAACTAGAAAAGAGCTACACAAAATTTTCGAGCAGTTTGACCTTAAAATCACCGCCGAAGTAAATATAAACGTCGTAAATTTTTTAGATGTCACTTTCGACCTCATCAACGCAAAACACAAACCATACAGGAAACCCAATGACGACGATCCATTGTACATCCACAGACACTCAAACCATCCGCCAAGCATTACAAGACAATTACCTACAGCTATCAACAAACGCATTGTACTTCTCTCATCGGACGAACAAACATTTAAGGAATCCACACCTATTTACCAGAAAGCTCTTACACATAGTAACTTTGATCATGAATTTACGTACACTCAGGATGCACCGCAACGGACACGTAGGAATAGGCAACGCAACATAATTTGGTTCAACCCACGTACCATTTAGTAAGAGTGTCAACACGAACATAGGACGGGAATTCTTAAGTTTAATTGACAAACACTTCCAACTACAGCACAAACCACACAAGATTTTTAACAGAAACACTTTAAAAGTAAGCTACAGTTGCATGAACAACGTTAAGTCTATAATCACCAAACACAACGCACATATAATTAGGAACAGTCAATCACAGAATACGGAAACTGACAACTGTAACTGCGACAACAAGAACACTTGCCCACTACCGAAACAATGTATGACCAACAACATTATTTACAAAGCAACAGTCACAACGAACAACACGAACGACACTAAACACTACATTGGTATGACAGCGACTACATTTAAGGAACGTTACGCTAACCACACTTCATCTTTTCGTCATAAAAAAGACTCAAACAAAACGGAACTTTCGAAACATATTTGGAAATTAAAAGAAAACAATCAGGATTATACCATCAAATGGTCAATTTTAAAACACGCTATTTCGTACACAGGGGATCAAAACGCTGCAATTTATGTTTGGAAGAAAAATTTTGCATTTTGAAAGACATAAACAAAGACAATTTACTCAATAAAAGAAGCGAAATTTTCGGCAAATGTCGTCACAAAAACCGGTTTCGAGTAAACAAGGTCGTTAACAAAACCTAATGACCCAAGCATGCATTGTTTCACCTAAGCATTGTTTCGCCTACACGCATTCCGCACATTCTTTCGATAGCATAAAAGCAACCTACAATTTCGAAATTATTCACCACCTGATGATTCCTATACGGATGAAACAGACTGTTGTGGTTTTTTGAGGTAAAACGAAAAACTATATTACGCTCTATCTATATGGTATTGAGCACTGTTTGTGTTTCGTAAAACAAAAATCTTAAGCTATATATATATATATATATATATATATATATATATATAGTATATGTCTCAGGCGAGTATGTGCATGTGTACTAGAATATGAAAACATATTTGCATTTCGATTTGTGTTATTTTCAGATTAATGGAGAGGATGCTACTGATAAAGGTCAACAAAAGAAATGTTGGATTTAGAGATGAGGAAGCCGCGAAATGGACTGGGAGATTTGGCAGCATCTTGGACAATGTTTCCAGCATGGTCGGGCATATAGTTAAGCTTGGCCAGGAACTACATACTGCGGATGGGCAAAAGTATTTTGCTTCTTGTTCAGAAGTGGCAGCAGAATGGCTGAATACAGACAGTGACAGACTCATCAAGATGTGGGCAAGTGCTCTATTTTGTGCAAGAAAGGTAGGGTTTATTTAATCTAAGGCAACATAACATGTCGATGCATGTATGAGGGCCTATATACATGCATGCAGGATCAAGTACCTATGATCTGTAATCCTTCAAATATATATTGCTTATCACAATGGCACCCCCTGCATGCATGCACAAACAATGTTCCTAATTGACATAATGCATACATATATTTTTTTTACTGTTAGCACCAGTGTAGATAGAGTACCGAATCCGGCCAATGAAAGCTTTGTTGTACATAGTTTATCTGTATATTTGTCATGTTTCAGATGGCCAAATATACTACAGCTGTAAGTGAAGAAGACATTTTGCAACACTTCAAAAGTGTTTTGGCACCATATGTTTTCGAGAACCAAGTTCCTCAGATGACAGAGCCTTTCCTTTCGCCTTCAAGCTGGTCATCTCAAACATCTGGAGAGACAGTGGTAAAAGCATTGGAAAACATCCTCCTTGATGTCACAAAGGGGGAAGATCAAACAACGGTAAATAAATGGGTATAAAGCTAAGTGATAGTCGAACTAGACTAGAAAAAACTATATATGGAAAAATTGCTATCATATATGAAGGAACGCTTTGGAAACTAGTTATCCCCCACTTCTTTTAGATGTTGACTGCACATCTTTCGATTTCGGAATCTTCAAATAAATATGCCCTATGTAATATCTCTTGTTAATCACATGTAATTTATGGAAGCTATATAACACTTTGTTCGGTTGTTCAGCACACATGTATTTGTTTAAATTCAAGCTATGACTAATGTAATGCTCTAATTAACGAATAAAATCATCTTGCATTAGTATAGGTTCACAAATAAAACTTCATGCAATTAACTGGCTAATTGTCACCTTAAACAATTTCTTTTTTCAGGTTCAAAGATATCTATCCACAGACATCAGAAGCCGTGCTAATGATGCGACTGTGGATGACTCCATGATTGCCATTCGAGTGCGACATTTGAGAGAGAGATGTAAAACGAAACATATAAACTGTCATGTGTTAAATCATCTTAGCACTACTGTGTCAGCAACGAATATAGGTACAGCAGAACATGAACCTTGGCACTACAATTTTAATCAATGTTTATTTTATATACAGCATTCTAGCAGGGGAAGGGGGTTTATGTCATGGAAACCCCAAGATAGGAATTGTTACTCCAGGACCAGAGACTTGTTAATCTATAAAATCATGTTATTAGTTTATATATGTTACTCTCTAACTACATCCACATGTATTTTATATAATGTAGGAAAAGGGAGTTCTCAGAGTAGGTTTTACTCACCCAGCAAGAGGCAGCATGTACCCAAGCATTGCACAATGGTGAGGAGAACATTGTTTTCTAATGAGGCAATGGCAACACTAGACAAAGGTTTGTTTTAAAATATTTTGACTGACAAAACTTATGTCAGAATTATAAGCTACACTATTAGGACGCTAAATTATTTTCAAACATCATTAATAATTCATAAGCTTATTGGCAAATCATGTCAACCATAATATGTCACGTGCAGTACTTTAAACCTGACAAAACACTCCTAATTAGTATTCTTTATATAAAGAATACTAATAAGGCAGTATCTATTGTAGTCAATACAATCAATAAATACAAACAATTGTATGTTCGAAAAATTAAGCTTGTCCGAACTTTTGGCATTTGTTTACATTTTTTGGTCACGTGTTGCTACACGTGTCTTTAAGGTCGAAAAGGCGAATTAAGGCAGTATATCTATATATTGAATTTGTGGCTTTAAACCTAATAAAACACTCCTGCTCGTTTATTAAACAGTACTTCATGTATTACAGCCTGTTATGGTAATGAGGTGGCAAGAGAGTTAGCTGATACCAATGAAGACACACCAGACAGTGCAGAAAGTGGTGCATCGACAGTGATCAAAGGTAACTACTTCACTGCAGTTAATGTCCCACCATTTGAACTTGTTCTTTTAACTTAATTATTACCATTTGCCTAATTTCCTGACTTAGACTATTGTTATTTTCCACTAAAAACGAAAGCATATCTTTATCTTAGGTCATCTTATACCCACAGAACTACATATTAACTGTACCGATTTTCGTGTTTAACAGGATCTTATTCTCTGTTAAACGTGAAATGGATTTTTGTGTTCACGAATCCTTTGTTTTCCATGAAACTTGATTAATACCCAACCCTTTATATATCAATCAATATGGTTCTCATTCCTCTTAATTCTTTGTTTAGCATCATTAGAGAAGAGAGAAGAGGAACTTCTAGTAAAAGATGCAAAGATAGACAAGCTACAACTCAAACTGACTGACACTGAGAGCGAACTGAAAGAAAAAGGAGAAAAGAACAAAGACTTGATGGAGCTACTTAGCAGCAGAGACGATGAAGTTCAATCTTTGAACAGTAAAATTTTGCACCTGCAGGAAGAGATTGCAGTTTTGAAAAGGGGGAGTGAGTGTCACAAGAATGTCCAAGGTATGTGATCAGCTATATATATATATATATATATTAGTATAATAGTATTCTGGGAATCTATATATAGATATAGACGAATGTGGTTTGGTTAACAAAACACAAAATGCCAAAGAGTGCTCAATATCATATAGATAGAGCAGAAATAATCGTAGCAGAAAAGGTTGCCACATGCAACAAGAGGAATCATCAGGTGACTCTTGGATAAAACAGACTGTTGTGGCAACCTTTCAAGGTAAGAGGATATAGATATATGTTGCTCATCATTAATATTAGTTTAATTCTTAAATTATTATTTGGCTGGAGGTAAGTGCATACTGGTAATCATACAAGTACACTTTTTAACTCATTAAATTTGTACTATTAACAGGTCTTCCATTTGACATCCAAAGCTCACCAGTGGAACCTCTACAGAAAAAGCAAAAACCGCCAAAAAATACAGCAACTAATGGTAAGCAAGTTCTTGATCCACAATGCCATGTATAAATTACCACAATGTCAATGCCAATGGCTGCGTTTATTTTCAAAATCAACATTACCCGATTTCACAGGTGAAGTATATACCCAGATCTTTTTCTATAAATACTAATAGGGGAGTCGTCTCAAAGAAACAAAATCTGCAGCCCAAATGAGGGAAAGAAGAACGTTTGCAGGGTTTGCAAAAGCAAGAAAAGGAATGGTACCGGTATGATTAGATGCAGAAAATGCGACCAGTGGTTTTATTGTAAATGTGTTGGTATGACATGGAATGATGCCTTAAAACAATGCTCTGTCTTTTGCTGTGATATTTGCAAGTGAAGGCCTGTAAAATAATTTTCATATAGACATCAGAAACCCGCCTTTACTAGTATAGTTTTACACTTTGTTGTTCACATTGTTTTTTACGCGTTGTAGCGTTTTACCTTGTATTATTTTTATATAGAATTGACTTTGTAGCGTTTTGTAGTGTGCTACAGAAATACTACGGCAATATACCTTAATGCACTTTTAAACAGTTTGTTTTTTATTGTAGCGTTTTGTAGCATTATTTTTATATAGAATTCACTTTGTAGCGTTTTGTAGTGTGCTACAGAAACACTACGGCAATATCTGGAGAAACACTGCGGCAATATCTGCTGACTTATTTGTAGCATTATTTTTATATAGAATTCACTTTGTAGCGTTTTGTAGTGTGCTACAGAAACACTACGGCAATATCTGGAGAAACACTGCGGCAATATCTGCTGACTTAATTGTAGCATTATTTTTATATAGAATTCACTTTGTAGCGTTTTGTAGTGTGCTACAGAAACACTACGGCAATATCTGAATCCTAAACCTTGCCTATCTGCTGACTTAATTGTAGCATTATTTTTATATAGAATTCACTTTGTAGCGTTTTGTAGTGTGCTACAGAAACACTACGGCAATATCTGGAGAAACACTGCGGCAATATCTGCTGACTTAATTGTAGCATTATTTTTATATAGAATTCACTTTGTAGCGTTTTGTAGTGTGCTACAGAAACACTACGGCAATATCTGGAGAAACACTGCGGCAATATCTGCTGACTTAATTGTAGCATTATTTTTATATAGAATTCACTTTGTAGCGTTTTGTAGTGTGCTACAGAAACACTACGGCAATATCTG